AAGACTTTAACTTTTACCAACGTATTTTTATGATAAGATACTTGTACTTTTACTCAAGTATCACTTTGACGTACTTTATACAACACTGGTAATTAAATATAGTTTGTTAGTTCTCATACTCCCTAGGTCGGTTGTGGCAGAGTGGTTAAGGGAGTCGTCCTGGAACTGGAAGGTTGCCGGTTCGATCTCCCATCCGGCCACTTCAGTTGTTGTGTCCTTGGGCAAGACCTGCCTCACCTGCTGGTTGTGGTGGTCAGAGGGTTCATGTAGCTTCCTGTCATCACTGTGTGAATGAATGATGCAGTGTACAACAGGCTGACTGGTCCAACACAGGGTTCCTGCAGATCCTTAAAAAGTCTTAAAAGTAATTGAATTCATCGATCCAAAAATAAGGCCTTAATTAGCCTTAAAATGTCTTCAATCAGTCTTTCAGAAGTTTTAAAAATGTTAACACTTTGTACAAAGGATGACTGTAATTCATCTCAAATATTAAAGTAATCTGTAACATTGATTTTTTTTAATATTCACATGCAGACATTCCCCTTTGACATCACTTCCTGTTGTTTCACATGAAAATATCACAATTGTCCATCTGAGCAATGAGAAATTTGTTTTGTAATATGTTAATAATGTTGTCTTTCCAAAAATGCATTCACTTTTCTTACAAAAAAATTGATGTCACAGGCACTTAAAGGTTTCATCTACAGCAAATTAGTGTTAAGACCCCACTGTGGGTCCTAAAACTCTGAATTTTGGGTCCTTAGAGAATTTCCTGAAATTAAATTAAGTTTAAAACTGACTGCTAATAATGTATCTGCCATAGTTAGATATGGATACAAACTATTGGTCTATTAGAAATATTTGAATACTTCAACCAAAAATACTTTGATTCATGAGATTCTGCCAACGTTTTTTTGTCATTTGTGTTTATTACATATGAAATTGGTCTTAAATTTAATTTAACTTTTTTTTCTTTCCTTTTTTTTTGGATGAAATTTAATTTAACTTGACATTAAAAAGTCTTAAAAAGAAGAAAGGAAAAAATCATCAATTTTACGCTTTTAATCTTTTCTTTCCTTTCAGCAGCCTGACAGATTTCTGCTTTCTTATATTTTATAATATGTCCAAGTTTAATCATGTGTGAAAAATCCACATTTTTTGTTTATTCAGTGAGTATTTAATACAGCTGGCACAACAAATTGTTAAAATGTGTGAGCAGTTGCATCGAAATGAGGATTAATTCTAAAAGTGGAAAATAGAGAAACAGGCAGAGATAGGGTTTTGATTTAAACAAGTACAAAAATTTTATTTTATAAAAATATTATGAATTAATGTCTTTTCAATGTATCATTTGAATGAACTGTCTGAAATATAATCTTAAAAATTTATTTGAAGCATTTTTTGAGCAGTAGCAACAAAAAAAACTGATTTTGAGGGAAAAACACCTTAAAATTTAGAATTTTTCCCTGTGAGGTAGAAATATTTTTGTTTCTTTTCACCTGGGAAATATTAATATACAAATGCAATTTGAAGTTTCCTCTTTATATTAACATCAAAATTTACTCAATAAATTTACATAAAATTAGAATTCCGACCAAACAGTAATGT